TCCGCCAGTCCACATCGACGCGCTAGGCCATCCGTCCGCGCGGCAGGGGGAAGGACACGACTGCGCATGCGGAACGTGCGAATGGGGCAGGAAGGCAACCTGCAAGGTCGAAGTGAGATGCTACGCACGCGAAGTGCCGTAGCAGACCCGGTTACAGTATGAAGCGGCACAGAACTACACACGACGAATGGTGCCGGTCACACAGCAAGCAATCCGTATACCGGATGAGCTTCAGCGCAGGCTCCCGTTCCGCAAGTTTGACGGGACTGAGCTGATCCGAGGTCTGGGCTTTAAGCTTCTGGACAGGGGTCGGGCATGCATGCGCTCAAATTCATTATGCGCAAGCATTGTGTGGCTTTGACTGGTCTGAAGACGTGAAGACTGACTTGCTCGGTCACTACTTGAGATGGACGGCCGAACGCTAGTATAACAAGCAGGTAGAATCTTGGTGGCGCCAGCTCTTGACGCTAGACTATGGTATGGAGCGACTTCAACAGACGTTTAAGACGACGATCGCTGCGTCCCGGTCAATGAGACTACTTACGGCAAAGAAAGACACCAAGAGGACCTGATTCAAACACTACCTGTACTTGGTGGTATTACGCGATGGGTGCGGAGGTGCTGACGCGCAAGTGCTCGACAACAGTGTCCACTATGCGTTAGCGAGCTGCGCACGGTACGACTTACTCGTTCAAGCTAAAGAGCTCGCGCATTTGGCGTAGTCTATCGAAATTGATACGAGAAGTCCTGTTTCGTTTGGGAACGAATTCGTTGCAAACATCATTGAGAGCAAACACGAGCGTGCTTTAAATGTGGCAAGGTCGGGCACATTTTGGTTGCTTGCCCCAGCGAGAAGAAGAAAAAAGCATGATGGTACTAAGGGTGGCTGGAGGAGAATCAACAAGAAGAAGGCAGTTGTAAACTCAATTTTGTGTGTGCAGGTTAGCAACATCCAAACAAGAACTGGAACTTGGTCTGCAAGTCGAGCTATACAACGCAGCACTATTAGCTGGTGGTCGCAAATGCGAGGACCAGTACTAAGTAGCTGATGACATAATGCTTCAGCTGACGCTCGTTGGTCGCGTACTAGTGCGGGTAATTGCACTCGGCAAGCCGAGTATCGTTCTCCCAGCGACGTCTAGTACACATCAATGCCAACTCGGAACATATTGTCGTACGGCAAGCTAGAACTCAAAGGGTACGGACTCGATTATATAAACGATCGGCGAGCAATCAGATCGCTCAGCACCGGTGACGTTGTCGTTGATTTGCGATGCGAAACAACCTGCGGTGCATGTTGTGTGTCACGTGCGCTCTGAGTGAGCAAACCAGACGCGCAGTAAAAAAAGACTCGGGCGCGCACTCCTCGATCGATTGCATCGGTGGTGTGGTTTGCTCGGACCTTAAGGGACTGATGACACCGAAGGTTCGACTTGGAAATCGGTACCTCGTTAAATTTGTCGATCATAAGGGCAATTACTGCCACGTATTTTTGGTGCGCACCAAGGACCACACGGCAAAAATTCTAACAGATTTTTGGTATTCTATGAGAAGCGTTTCGACTGTTGCGTTCATGTACTTCGCACAGATGGAGCGGTGAATGTCCGAACATCGATTTGTTCTGCAAGTCCGTAGGCGTGTCACCGCAGGTGAGCGAAGCAAGAAATTTAGCATCAAACGGCAAGGCAAAACGCATGCACTGAATGGTTCTAAACATGGAACGCTCTATGATTTTTGCTAGCAATCTCCCGCAAAACTTCTGAAGAGTTGCGGTGGAATACTTGGCCTACATAGTGAATCGCAGCCCCAAGTGCTCGAATGTCAACCAAGCATCACCAATCGAGGTGCTAACAAGCCAAGCACCCGACCTTCGTGACAAAGTTACTTTTGACTCAGTGTGCTCAGTATATCGTGACCCGGAAGAGAACTCTTTTGCACATAGGACGCATCGTGGGTTGCAGCGACGAGACCAATAGATATCGCGTGTTCATACGCAATAACAATGTCATGATCGTGACCCAACACGTCAAGAATATTAAGGCACCCTTCAAAGAGCAAAGTAAACAGTTACGCAATGACGCAGAAGTTGAGAAGGAGACACCGTCGGTTATCAAGGTCGTATCGATAGCAAAATGCAAGACTGATCGGGCGTCGTGGGTACGTGCGCCACATGGCACACGAGGGACTGCCAAGCTAGCGGCACAAGAAACAAAACAAGTGTTAAGTGACTGTTATGCAAGTTAACGAGGCTGGTTCATAGAGACACGCTGAGGCAATGTGCAGTTCGAAAGCTGAAAGCTAGATAAAGGCAATGCTCGAAGAGATCCTAGCTCCGGAGAACAACGACGTCTGGAAGTAGTCAAGAGACCGACCGGGGCCAATATGTTGCACAGTAAGTGGGAATTCAAGACCAAAACGGATGCGAATGGTGCGGTGGAGCGTCTGAAGAGACGTCTAGTTGCGTGCGGGGACGAGCAAGATTTCGGCATACATTATGCGCTCGCTTTCGCTGCCGTCACGGATATGTCGACAGTAAGGTTGATTCTAAAATTCAAGTGCTACACGCAAGACTATCAGATGCTGGGTTCAAGCAGTATATTAGTGCAATGTGTCTGTACTTCAAGCGCGACGAAAAAGACTTGACAGCGGTTGGCGTCTACGTCGACAATCTCCTTGTTACAGCAACAAAAGCCGCAGGGGTCGAGCATTTCTTCATTTCAATGGCTTCGCTTATAATCAAGAATCTCGGATCAGTGTCGAAGTTTCTCAGTATAAGAGTGACGACACGCGACGCACACGCATATGCTCTCGATTGGGAGGAGGCTATTGTCGAGGTATTGCGTGAGCACGATATGGCATCGACAAACCCTACGCGGATACCTATCGGTGACAACTGCTACGACGAAGCCACACCAGAGAGTTTACGACCACAGGAAATCGCCGGCTTCGGGTCGCCAAGTATTCGTTCGTTTCAGTCGTTGGTCGGTAGTCTGCGATGCACGCGGCCAGACATTGTGTTTGCGGGTCACAAAGTCGCGCGACAGACACATGCGCCGCGTGTACGAGACTGGGAATTGGCAAAGAGGATTACGTGCTACTTCAGTTGAAGCAAATTGATAGAGCTTGAAACTGCGACGGATCAGTGACGCTTGAGTTTTTACAGTGATGACAACTTTGCTGCCGCCAAGGGAAAATGAATGTTGCTCACTGGTGACATCGCTCTACTAAACGGGATGCCTGTGAGCTGGACAGCCAAGAAACAGGGTGGTGTCTCTGGCTCGACTACAGAAGCCGAATTTGTCGCAGCATCTGAGACGGTTCGCGACCTCCACGGTATTAACGAGATGCTGAAAGAGGTGAGACTCGCGCCGGCTCAGCCTATGCTAATGCCCGTGGATAACCAGGCTGCGATTCATCAGAACGAAGGTGCAGCGAGGCAGTCGTGGCTACTTCGCTTAGAGGAAGCTGAGCTAAGGTCACCGATCTTACGTTCTTTCCAAGAACCAATGCAAGTGTAGCGGATCGTG